TCATTAATGCGACTCTCTCGCACAAACTCAAGTTGCCCACGACCACGATTGAGCCGTTCGAGGTTAGGGTGGCGAATGGCGAGCGCTTGCGGTGCTCGGAGATGTACCGGGACATGCCGATCAAGTTTTAAAGAGTGACGGTGAAGGCGGATTTGTTTGCCTTACCTTTGGTGGGACCGGATGTGGTGCTTGGGGTGCAGTGGCTCGAGGGACTTGGAGATGTGACGACTAATTACCGGAAACGTGTGATGAAGTTCGAGGCCAGTGATCAGCTCGTTACCTTGAAGGCTAGTGAGGGAGCAACCAAGGAGGTTGGTCTAAAAAACATTGTGAAGGTGTGGCGAGGTGGCGGACAGTTGTACGCTGTCGTGGTCCAGCCAACAGACAAGGACGCGGAGGTGGTCGAGGAGTTCGACCAAGTGGCTGAGAAGAGGCAGCGCGAGGTGCGTGATTTGCTCGAGGAGTTCGACCAGGTCCTCGACGAGCCCAAGGGACTGCCGCCACACCGAGAGTTCGAACACCGTATACCTTTGGTCGAGGAAGGTCGAGCAGGGCACGTGCATCCGTATCGATACGCACACTTCCAAAAGACGGAGATCGAGCGGGAGGTGGGCGAGATGCTCGAGTCCGGGCTCATCCAGCATAGCTCGAGCCGGTTCTCGTCACCGGTGTTGCTCGCAAAGAAGAAGGACGGAACTTAGCGGTTCTGCACGGACTACTGCGCTCTCAATGCGGCTACTGTGAAGGATCGCTTTCCCATTCCGAGCGTCGACGACATGCTGGACGAGTTGGGTGGCGCGCGTTACTTCTCTAAGCTCGACCTACGCGCGGGCTACCATCAGATCAGGTTGGCCAAGGTGGACGTGCCCAAGACGACTTTTCGAACGCACCAAGGGCACTATGAATATCTCGTGATGCCTTTTGGTTTGTGCAATGCGCCGTCGACATTTCAGTTTGCGATGAATTCAATCTTCAAGGAGTACCTTCATAAGTTTGTGTTAGTATTCTTTGATGACATTTTGGTGTACTCGAAAACATGGACAGATCATCTCGAGCACTTGCGAGTTGTTTTGAAGATTTTGGCGGCTAACTCATTTTATATCAAGCCGTCCAAGTGCTCGTTTGCTCAAGAGGTGGTCGAGTACCTTGGGCACTTTATTTCTCATGATGGTGTCAAGGTGGATCCAAGGAAGATTGAAGCGATGGTGGGATGGCCTAGACCCACAAGCTTGACGCAGTTACGAGGGTTCCTTGGTCTCACGGGCTACTATCGGAAATTCGTAAAAGACTACGGGACCATCGCAAAGCCACTCACGGAGATGACGAAGAAGGGAGCATTCAAGTGGACGGAGGCGTGCGAGAAGGCTTTCGAGGAGCTGAAGGAGGCCATGATGACCACACCCGTTCTCGAGATGCCGAGGTTTGATGTATTGTTCGAGATCCACTCGGATGCGAGCGACATTGGGATCGGGGCGGTTCTAGTACATGAAGGACGACCCTTGGCTTATCTCAGCAAGGCTCTCGGGTCGGTGCACTTAGGGTTGTCCGCGTACGTGAAGGAGATGCTGGCTGTGGTCGAGACCGTGCGTGTGTGGAGGCCGTACTTGTTGGGGCGACGCTTTCAGATTGTCACGGACCAGCAACCGCTCAAGCACTTGCTCGAGCAAAGGATCGTGATGCCCGAGCAGCAAAAGTTCGTGTCCAAGTTGATGGGATTCGACTTCGAGATAGTGTATCAGCCCAGTCGCCAGAACACCGTGGCCGACGCATTGTCTCACCGGGAAGACGTGGCCGAGCTCGATGCAGTGACGGGGCCGACGTGGGCCGTTTGGACAGAGCTTCGGAAGGCGCAAGACGAGGATGCGCATTGTCAGGACGTGGTTGAGAACTTGAACGAGGGACGCGACAAGGATGAGGACCATGACATGCACGATGGCTTGCTCCTTTATCATGGGCGAGTCGTCGTGCCCGAGGTGGGATCATTGCGCGAGGACATCATCCGGCACTTCCACGACTCGAAGTTTGGAGGACACTCAGGAGTGTTCCGGACATGGATAAGGATTGCGAGCACTTTTTATTGGCCGGGACTGAGGGGCAATGTGCGCGACTACGTTGGGCGATGCGATGAGTCCCAACGCACTAAGGCGAACGCGCGTCGATCGGGCGGACTGCTTCAACCATTGCCGGTTCCCAAGCGTATTTGGGAGGACATCACCATGGATTTTATCGAGGGGTTGCATGGGGTACCACGGTCGATTGTGTCCGACCGGGATCAGATATTTATGAGTAGTTTTTGGTCGGAGTTCTTTAAATTGCAGGGAACTGAGCTAAGTATGAGCTCGGCTTATCATCCACAAACCGACGGACAGACAGAGGTTACCAATCACACGCTCGATCAGTACCTTAGGTGCTATGTGCATCAGTTCCCAAAGCGGTGGGAGGATTATTTACCTTGGGCCGAGTATTGGTATAACACCACTTACCATAGCTCGACTAAGGCGACACCGTTCGAGTTGGTGTACGGGCGCAAACCGCCTACGATCGTGAGTTACTCGATGGAGAGCGCCGTGAACGATGAGGTCGATCAAGAGTTGGTCGAGCGCGACTTAATGTTGCGTGAGCTAAAGCGAACGTTGGAAGGCTCGATCAATAGGATGAAGGCGTACCATGATGGCAAGCGGCGTGACGTGGAGTTCGAGCCCGGGGACTGG